AAAAAAGGACTAGTAAATAGAAATTCACTGAATAAAAATGAAATTGTAAGTTAATAGAAGAACGTATGTTCAGCTATATTTATAATAAAATATTAATTAAAAGTGAGATACCACTTTGCAACTGTCAGATGGGCAAAAATAAATTACTTCACAATTGTTAACATAGAAATGATGAGGCGCAATGGCACAATAATGCTGGCGCAACTCTAAAGTGGGACAAATGTTTTCTAAAGAAATTAGAAAATATCTAGCAGTACAGATATACCTACTTAACTCAGAAATTCCATTGGTAATTATCACACATATACGTAGGCATTCATATGTAAGAATGCTCATTGTAAGAAACTTAAAGCACTGGTTACTTTTCAAATTTGTAAAATCACAGAGGGAACACAAACTGAATGAGATCTGTAATGTTGTACTTCTCAAAAAACGGGTCCGAAGCAAATCATGACAAAATGTTATCATACAGCAAAGGTTAAGTTATGGGTAAAAGAGTGTTTTTTATATTCTGTATCTTTCTTTGTGATTATATCATTTGATGATATAAAAGGAGACAACCCAATGACATTTCATTCTCCTCTATTCAGATAGCAAGTGAGCTATTCTCTGTGAACATACAGATCCTACAAATTCAAGATAAATCCGAGGTCTACAGTTACTACTGTGTAAGTATTGAATATCGAGTTACATGTTCCAGAGTTCATAGACATATTAGGAGATAATAGTCTGAGTCAATACATTCACATGTCTCTGGACTGGTAATCGCATGTTCTTCTCATGCTCCTTAGTGGATGTATGTTTTGACAGACTTTTCTAGATACTGGTATGGGCTTTTCTAAGGCTGTTCTCCTTTCTAGATGAAGGTAAATAATCTGCCTCAAACTAACCTAGTTTCCTTTTTTCTATACTAACTGCCACTTACAGTATTTGAACCGGCAACTTTCACCATTGTAAAAAAAACATACATGCATACCTCAGACAGAGACAACAGTGTGTGATGGCCAGAGGGAAGGAGAAGCGGAGGCTGGTGAAGGTGGAAATACAGGGGATGGGGACGTCTGTCATAGTGCAATGATAAAAATTAAGAAAAAATTGAACTATTTTATTTTTCATCTCTGTAACAGGAGGTTCTCTGCATTACCCAGCCTTTGGAAGGCTTTTGAAGAGAAGTTAGAGAGATTCATGTACCTTCTGCCATAAGAAGAGAATCTATAAGATGTCTTGAGACACAGAACATGAAAGAGCTACAGAGGGGCTAGGGAAGCTGCGCGTGGCCACATGTGCTGTCCTGCCTCACACATACCAAGTCAGAGACATTCAAACTGACTTCATGGTGACCCATATCATGTGGCTTTGTATGTAACTCTACAACCAAAATGGAAGTTGCTCAACATGATACTTTTACTTTAAGAAATGTGTTCAGATATTTTTTATTCTAGTTTCTCATATATTAGTAAAAAAAGACTGCGAGTTCTAAATCCCTTATATTGATTTCACAATCCCTGTTGATTCATACACTGGAAAGTTGTCATGAATTATTTCTATGACTGCTGCACTCAAACATCCTACATTACTTTACTATACCAAGTTTATCGGGAAATCTTTTATTATTCTTCTCCCAGGGAGAACTTTTTTCCATGGAAAATTCTTATCAATGGCAAACATTATTTCAAAATCAATAATGAAGCATTACAAGGGAAGAGAATATTTCTATCTTATCTCTGCAACTACTGCACCCCCCCCGCCCCCGCTCCACATTTGCCTGTCTAGGGTAGAAAAAAGTCAAATGAGAAAGTTTGTTGGCTAGAGAGTAAGGGAAATGACCAAGACATAATGGCATGAAATAACAGTTTACATATTATGACTGAAATAACAAGAAATAAACTCAGAATTTACCAAAAACAACTTGGAAAGAAAATAGGGTGGGTGGCAATAAGATAAACAGGTTTGAGTCACATAGCATTTATTTCCAAACTTTTCAAGAACCATGGATATCTGTGTAGAACAGCACCGCTCCCCCCCAGGGTGGGTCAGTGCCCAAGGTTCACTCTGTCAATTCCCACAACTACCATCTCTTCACAGTCTCCAAGTTTCCAATTTATTTCAGCAAAAACATGAAGTGATAAATAATAAATGATTAATAAATAAAACATTTACTACATCATTGAAAAACTGTCTCACAGATAGAAATCTGGAATTACACCAGATCATCTGTTGAATTTATCTCTCAGAATACGTCTACTGGTGTTTCCGTGGAAATTCCTCAACAACTTACCATTCCTTTCCTAACCTTTCTCCCACAATTAACTGCATTTCATGTAAAAGGGCAGCTTAACTCTTATCATAGATTTACCTTGAAAATTATGAAAATGCAGGTGCAAAGTCTTAAAGACCAGATAATCGGAAGCTGAAGTTGATTAAACATTATGAGTTCAGTAATGTTCATTTCTATCTTGCATATTTTTATTAAGTAATTTGTATCATGTTATTTCGCACTTCAACCAGGAATTAGAGCCTATGTTATAAGGGTTTCTTACTTCTGTTATAAGTTTAAGAGCAAATGTCATTAGCAATACCCAACTAAGTTTCTGAATGAATTACTTAGATTGTATTCCACTTTCCATTTTTAGCTTCTGTTACAAAATATAATTATTTGATAAAAATTTTTGTCAAGCACAGAATGATCATTCAATTCTAGTAATGATTCAGAATTTCATATGCTACTACCTTTCTAACCTTTATAAAGAGAGAGCAATATATTTTCTCCATATCAAAGATCAGTATGAATTGTTTGGCTGGTCTGTAGCACACTGAAGCAACTAGAGGCGGGTCACCCTGGATGACAGTTGGAATTACTTGGGGAATCACTTTAAAAACCACTGAGAGGCTGGGACCCACTCCCTCCGATTCTTCATTAATTGGTATGAGGTGTGGTTTAGACATGGGATACTTTATAATTTTTTCAAAATTATAAGAAAATACCAGAGGGTATTTTTTATTCTTCATTTTAGAAAGAGAGCAAAGGAAAGAAAGAGAGAGAAAAACACTGATGTGAGAAAGCAACATCCATTGGTTGCCTCCCCCAGCTCTGTAAGCACCCCGACTGGGATCGAACCCGCAACCTAGGCATGTGCCCTGACCAGGAATCAAACGCACAATCTTTTGGTGCATGGGACAACATCCAGCCTACTGGGCCACCTAGTCGGGGCTGGATGGGATACTTTAAAATGTCCACAGCTGATTATAATACACAGCCAAAACTGAGAACCACCACTCTAAACCCTGAGGCTCAGTGAAAAGCCCCAGGATGAGCATCCACTTTACCTGGGAGCTCGTTGGAGAAGCACAAGCTTAGACTGTACCCAGACCTGCTGAGTCAGACTCACATTCTCAGAAGCTCTGACTTAACCCATTCAGATTTCTAAATAAGGTAATAAAGTAATCTATCATTTCCAACTCTAAAATTCTCATTCCATAACCTGAACAATACACAGAGAAACACTTTTAAATTTATCTAGAATTCTTTACCTATAAAAGTGAAAGACTAAATCCATTCTGTCCTCTTCAACCCTGCAATTCTCATTCCACAAACCTAAATAAACAAAATGCTGAGGGAATTTGTCATAAAAAACTGTCATAATTTCATCTTCTGCTTCCTTTCTTTTTCCTCATTAAAATCCTACCCACCATTTAAGACAAGTAAAATCCCATCTCCTTAACGAAGCTGGTCCTGAAAAATGAGGTATGTTTCCCTAAAATTCTATTGTCAATATAATCAGTTCCTTGAAGTTCAGCACATTGTTTCTGTTATAACATATCTATTTATCTCATTTCTCCAATTAAATTACATTTTAAGTGAGAAATCATGGCATGTATCTTTTCCATCCTAATCTAATGTCTAAACTTTGTAGGTAAAATATACATTGTTAAAATATATGGGAAACAAAAGTAAGCTCCACTAATCTCACAAGATCACTTATTCAAAACAAGCACATCATTGCCAGTTTCTTATAATGATTTATAGGAAAATATAACCTCACCACACATAATGCAAAATCTTACACATTCACATGAATAGCAGTCTGCTGTGTTTTAGGAATCTCATTCCCTCCTTACTCTTGCCCTGAACTCACCAGCCTGATAATAAAAATGCCTCTAGTAGACAGAGACTATATGAAAATAAATTTATATACTTGTTAGTCTTTAATATGTCTTTCAATAACAGTAGATTTTTTGTATTCTTTCACTTCATTTCTGTTTTACTCAACATTACATCTCTATCACCGTGTCTGGCACATACAGGGCATATAAGTGAACTATAAGCAGTATGTCAATAAACAATGCAGAAACAATTTTGAAAATGTGCTACTGAGCTCATGATAACAATTAGAAGTCTGACTTTTTTGGTAGTAGGTCCTAGATACACTTTTCTTGATTCTTACACTTTATATATATTTTTCATCATACAAATAACATATAGTCAGTATAGAAAACACAGATTAAGTAAAATTTTAAAATGTAATCCCTGAAATTTTATAGCCCTGAACATAACAATGTTAACAGGTACATATCTGTACAGATCAACAATTTATAATTATAAACATATATGCTATTAAACACATGTACCTTATAAAAGATGATTGCACTTACTTCTACATACCCTGTTTTGTTGAATTTTGATAATTATAAAAATGTTATCATTGTTAATGAACAGCTTCTATCATAATGTAGTTTTCTAAACTTTTCCATGATAAAAGCATAAGAGGTAGGTATATTGATTTAAAAATTATGCATATTTTTAGAACCTGTGATTTAAAAAAATTTTCAGATGGATCTTCAGAAGTTTGTATCAGTGTGCTCTCTGACAAGATGATGAGAAATTCCTAAAAGAGCTAATCATCAATTCAACTATATTCATAGCTATAAAATTTACCACCAAGTCACATACATTGAAATATTACATTAAAGAATAGTTGATGCATTTGGAAAATACTCACATTCTTTTTGAGGGTACATTTCACTTTGGAGAGATCGGAACTCATAATAGGGTATCTCTTGTTTGAATACAGATGTGAGAATATCATCAAGTTCTTCCATGTCATTCTGTTTTCAAATGAAAAAGACATTTTTATTAGTTCAATTGTTCATGTGGAAATTCATCTTAGTGCAACATAATAAAAATTATTAGCTGGAGACAACTGTACTTGAACAACAATAATAAAGGAAAAGATAAAAAAATGTTGCTTTATTAAAACTATAGAAGAAATTTTTAAGCTACTAAAAAAATCATTAGCTGGAGTAAATACTGGGCAATCTTCAATAAGGCTGTTACCATTTTAAAGACTCATACAAAATATTAGGGCTTGCCTAAACCCCATTATTAAAGTAATAGAAAAATAGATGCAAGAAACAAAAGTTTTGCTTTTAAGTATTTACTTAAATACTTGCTAATCATAAAAGAACATTATAGCAGGTCAATAATAACACTGAAATTTGTTTTAATACTAGATTTTGGTAAAATATGTGACATTTTAATAGATAAAATAATAAAATTATGAGTCTGGTTCTTCAACTTAAGGGTCAGATATGGGATACTCAGAAAAAATACTCAGCCACTTTCCCCTGCAAACACAGAGCAACTAACTATGTGTCTACTCTGCTTCCCCAATCCTAGAAGAAGGCAAACAGAACTCAAGTGTTCTCCTACTGAGTTCATAACCTGTTACAAAGACCAGCATTATTTTAACATTGTGTTTTGTGAAGCTTATGACTGGTGCCAAATTGACTTGAGATGTAGATGGTTGTTGCTGAGGAGGTGTGTCAACCAAACAAAGCCATGGTGTGGAGACAGGATTGTGGGGGAAAAGTTCCTAATTAAAATTTCTGCATTGATTTCCATATAAAATTAGACACATTGCCAATATCTAGCCATGTATATTAAATTGTTGTATTGAAAAAATAGATACTTGTGTTACTCTATTTCCTCACATTTCAGAAATCCAAGTGCCTCAAATAGTAAAGTGATTTAGGGCTCAGTGGGTTTTCTATGTCCCTTTGAAAAGTTGGCAGAGGCCTTAATGTGGGGGCAACTTTGCTCACAGGTCCCCCTGTCTGCCATGGATGAAAATGAAACTACCAAGACATGGTCTGCTTGGGGAGGAGAGGTAGTCAATCTCTCACAGGAGAAGGACCAAGAACCTCTTCTTCGACAGCTTTTATTAGGTTGTAATACACAGGAATATAGGTAAAGTTCATCGGTCAATGTCAGGTGGCAAGGATCAAACCATAGATAATATTTCAAAGAAATCTGAAGGCTTAGTTTGTGTTAGTGTCTTTCAGGTAAGGGGATTGCAAAAGGTTTGGTAGACATACTCATTTCCTGCTCGGACCCTTATCATATGAATGAAAGTACTCTTAGCAAAGCAGGCTTCATAGGACTTTAGGAATTCTTTCTTATGCCAAATCACCCTGGAATCCACTCTAGCTGGCAAAGGGATACACTGCCTTCCCCATCATAGATTTTTAGGCTTAAGTGGATTAGAGCCAGGAAGTGCTTCTCCCAGTTGGAGATGGGGACTCCGGCTATGGGGACAATAGCTGGGGGGGCGAGGGTCCATCGCTCCCTCCTTGTTGCAGCCCTTCCGAGTCCTTCCATGAAGGCCTCCCAAGTGATCGTGTCTGGCTTAGGTTGCCCCTCCTCTGAGGGGTCTGGGTCTTACCCGTGTCTGACTAACCAACCAAGCACTGAGGGCAGGGGATGAAGCAGAAGCAGCGCTGCTGCCAGAGATCAGCTTTGTCTCCTTAATGTCTCACAGTCCGAAGGTCACTCATTCAGCCTTATCCATGAGGAGATGTTATAATTCCAAAACCAGGCAGAGCAGTTCCCAACACCTTGCTTTGGTGAGCACATTGTTAAGATATGAAAATGTTGTGTCACTATGTTGTACACCTGAAAATAATATATTGTATGCCAACTATATTTACAAAAAAAAAGTTGGGGGAGGGGAATGTAAGTCCTTTTCTCAACCTGTAACTGTATAATGTAACTGTATAACTCTTAATGCTGCAAAAACCAGCATTAAGCTACTTAATGCTATGGACTCTATGGAACTCTTAGCTCTGGAACATTAAAAAAAAGGATGAGAGATGGGACAACAAGCTCGGTCTTCAAAATATTCAGTCATGTAATTACACATGGATAATAAACTGAGTTCCAGGTACTCTGATGGAAAGTCACTATGAGTTACATACAGAATGGAAAAAGGGGAGATGGCTCCATTCCACAAAGGAATGTGTGGCCAGGAAAGGCTTCATAGAGTGGATGGCCTGACTTGACATTGCCATGCGCACAAGGAACATTCTGGACTAAATGAGCAAATTGCTTACAGGCATGGAGGGAGCATAAATCATGACCTGGTTAAGTACTTTCAGGATTTATATAAGACTGTAGTAGAATGAGAGAAGAGAAAGGAGTGGGCATTTCAAAAAGTGCCCAAATAAAAAGTTTATAATTCATGCTGTAACCACTGAGAATGTTGTCTAGGGTCCATAGTGCTTAACATGGAAATGTTTATTACGTGGATTAAATTAAGCTTATTTAAGTTGCAGCATGATTATGATTGATTATTTGGTTGACTGTTCCCGTAGAATGAAACCTAGTCTATAAATAAAGATGTGGCAATTTTATATTAATAATTACCCTTTTAAATTGACATAGAACATTATCCTGGTTTTATGTATACAATGCAATGATTCAGTGGTTGCATATACTGATATATTGAAATATAAGTCTAATTGGTGTCCATCATCATACATAATTAAATTTTTTCTTATGAGAACTTTTAAGATTTACTCTTTTAGCAACTTTTTATGTTATAAAATATTAAGTATAGTCACCATGCTGTGCATTACATCCCCATGACTTTATTTTACAACTGGAAATTTGTACCTTTTGACCATCTTTATTCATTTCTCCAAACCCACCATCAGTCTGGCAATCATCAATCTGTTCCCTGTATCTGAGTTTAAGTTTTTTGTTTTACATTCCATATATAAGTGAGATAATACAGTATTTGTCTTTATCAGTATGACTTATTTCACTTAGTATAATGTCCTCAAGTTCTACCCATGTTGTCACAAATGTCAAAATTTTATTATTTTGTATAGCTGAATAATATTCCATTTTCTATGTATGTCACATACTCTTTATCCATTCATATATTGTGGACACAGGCTCTCTCTATGTCTTGGTTATTGTAAATAATGCTACAATCAACATAGAGGTACATATATCCTTTCCAGATAGTGTTGTCATTTTCTTTAGATCAATACCCAAAAAGTGGAATTACTGGATCTTATAGTAGTTGTATTTTTTAATAGTTTGAGGAGCCTTCATACTCTTTCCTATAGTGGTTGCACCAATTTACATTTCCATCCACAAAGGGAAGAAAAGTCTTCCCTTTTCTTCACATCCTTGCCAACACTTGTTATTTCTTTTCTTCTTGATTACTACCACCCAGGTGTGAGGTGATATTGCATTGTGATTACCTTTTTATTTTTTCGGGAAATCTTTAATAGGAGCAATGGAACAAAACTTTATTAGCAATATGTTTGCATTTTATTTAAACTAAAGTTAAAAACATATGTTAGCTGTCTGAGTTGGAAAAGGGAATTAAGAAAACATGGAACTCATAATATTAATATGTAATTAAAAAAAAACAACTGTCAATGGCCATGATAGTTCTGCATAGCCTATTATCTACTTATCAGTAATTTTCCATACAGAGATAAACAATATTTCTTTTCAAAACTATACAAGATTTAGCAGGTAGAGACTGGTGTGTCTAGAGTTACTACACTCATCATGTACAAGTTCGTTATAAAATAACCTCTGGGATCACTTACAACTTTGAGATCTGAGACACAGATGAGAATTCAAAAAGCAAGAGTTACCACCAGAAATCTGAGGCACCATGATACTTCAATGTGAGAAATATTATAGCTTATATCATTGAATTTAAAAATGAGATATCAGCATTCTTAGAAAGAATAAAAATGTTCTTACAATGCAGGTGAAGACATTTAATTAATTAGGAAGAAATACAGATACATTCTAATATTCTAGCCTACCATATCTGGTTGAATCACTTCTATTTTCAATTTCACAATCATATTACTAGTAATATGCCTGCAGATAAATAACTAGTATATAAAAAATAATCCTTAAATTATTTCCCCTAGAAAAAGCCTAACTTGAAAACTCTGATTTGAGTAGTTATACTGTGTAAATATTAGATAAAGTAGACATCAGAGCAAAGAAAATTACCAGAGACAGAAAGGAACATTGTATAATGATAGAAGAGCCAATCCACCAAGAAGACATAGTAATCCTAAATGTGTATGCACAAAAGCTCCAAAATGTGTGAGGTAAAGACTAACAGGACAGATAGAACAAATAGTTAAATCCATAACTCCTTAAATACCTCTTTTTCAAAACTTGATAGAACAAATGGACAAAAAAGTAGCAAGAATACAGAAAAACTTAAACACAGTATCTCATGATCCAATAATCTAACCAACAAGGACCTAATGAACATATGTAGCACATTCCATGCAACAACAGCAAAGCACAGCTTCTTAGCACATGCCCATGGAATGAAGGGCAAGACAGACCATCTTCTGGGACATAAACTAATATCAACAAATTTAAAATAATTTCAATTATACGATTGTGTTTTCCAACTGCATGGAATCAAACACAAATCTATAGCAGAAAGATAATAGGAAAGTCTCCATACATTTGGAAATCAAACAACACAATTTTAAATAACCAATGAATGAAAGAGGGAGGAAGTCTCAAGGAAAGTTAAAAATACATTAAACTGCATAAAAGTGAAATGCAACCTATCAAAATCTGTTCCACACAGTTAAAGCAGGGCTGAGAGAAAAATTTATAGCAAATACACACACATACACATATGAAAAGGGAAAAAATTTCAAGCCAGTCATCCAGGCTCCCTTTTTAAGAACCCAGAAAAATAGTAAAAATAAATTCAAAGAAAGTAATAAAAAATGCAGAAATCAATGAAATTAAAAATACAAAA